CCACTTAAAAACCAATGGAAACCAACCTAACTATATGTCAGTCACACTATACAGATTGCATCCTACATTTTCAAGATGCCTAGATATCTTCTGTAGTATTTACAAATATATCAGTTAGGTAGTAAAGGTTCATTGCAATTTGTTTCTTTCCAGCACACTCTTATTCAATGGCAAAATAAGCCTTGGGGATGCATTTGCATTTTTGTACAACACTTCTGAGCAAATGGTTAGGGCAATTTTCCTGAGAGAAGGCTTGTTCTTTGAAACTCTTGTTTTAACAACTGGAAATACAGAAAGTGGATGCATTTTTGTTGCGCTAAAAAGCCTAAGGATGCGCCTAGTTAAGTTTTTCTTTTAAATTATTTACGTACCATTAAGTTAAAATGTTTACATTCATTCGTATAAAAACCGTTGTTAAATCTTATGCAAATGATTTAACACTGATTGCTGCAACGCAAATTGCACTTCTTTAAAAAAATTATTGTATATATGGAAGAAAAATATCTGATTGCTACCCTGTTTACAAATTTCGACTGACTCTATACAGTTCAGCCAGAAAACACGAACTTTCATAAATCTCAGTCACAGTGTACTTTAAAAGTTATATCGTAGTCTTGCAAAGTGAGTAAATATCTTAAACCAGAGAAAACCAACCCCAAAATCTCCTTAGCCAGCTGGACCTTGTGGGACTTGTACCAAACATTGTGATTTCTTCCAGGGGCATAGCTGGGCTCTGAGGAGCAGAGCAAGGCACACTGAAGATGGAGGGCAAAGGAGGAGAGAGGTCTGACAGGGCAAAGACATCAAATGTTCAGTGCAAGAAGTCTGTGCCGACTCAAGCCACATGCACTTCTGACACTCATTAAAAAAGTATCTCACTATCTCTGGTAATTAAAGTCTTTGTTGCTTCCTCCCCGACGATGACAGCTTCCACCAAATCCTTAGGGGAAAAGATGATGAGAGAGTGAAAACAATTATGCAATCAGAAAGGCAGCGCTGCTGGGTAAGTCGAAGATGTACTTCTGGAATCTGTCAATAGGTCTAGGTCTATATGTTCTTTTTTTTTTCTTTTTCTTTCTTTTTTTTTTTTTTTTTAAATTTGTTTTGGGGGTTTTGTGGGTTTCTTTGAGATTGTAAGGCTGCATTAGCTATCCCCTGGTGGTCATTTGCTTTCCCTATATTTTTCTTGCATAGATGAGGAACTGGATGCTTTGGCAGAGCTTCTTTCAGAGGCTGAGAAACACCTCTGCCACCAAGGCTCAAAAACTATTTCAGAGAAATGGTCTTTCCCATCACTCTTGCTGCCGCTGCGACCGCTCCACAGGAGAAACTGCTTGTGGACGTCCGGGGGCTGCCGCGCAGCACCAGGATCCAGCTTCCCTCACGCTGGGTCATGCCAGAGCCAGGGCACACCAGGGATCCTGTCTCACAGATGCTGTCACTTCGGCCGTGGAGCTCAGGCTGACTCCTGTGTACAGCCCATCTTGACCTGAATACTTAAGGTTGCTGCTTTCAGGACTGGTGCTCTCTCCTGGGCCAGACATCACTGATGAGCTCGCCTGGAGGGAGAGAACAAAGAGAGAGGCGTTGAGCAGGTGAGCTTTGCACACACGGGTGCGAGTGAGAGCATAGTGGGCACAGGGCACAGCCATTATCCCAGGATTTCTGCAGAGAAACAGGGTTTGCCCTCTGCTTGCCCCATGCCTCAAAATCCTGAAAAAAATAAAAAAAATCTCATCATCAGCCCAGTGACTGAGCCCTATTGATGGGAGAGATATCTGCATTTGGAGAGGTGGAAAAGAAAGCATGTGAAGGGCAGAAAAACCTGGAAATCAGACTATGGTGAAGATGGAAGTGCGTGTGCGTCCCGCTGCCCCCTACTGAAGAGACATAAGTGACAACACCAAAAATGTGATCTGGGAGTGGTGGCACCTATAGTTTTTCTTCCACAATGGGAGAAGCCTGATACATCCCAATTCTCCAGCAGCAGATATGGTGCACCTCCTGGAAATCAGCCTTCTTTATGTCCCTCAGACCTTGAAATGCCTAAAATCATTCTTCACCATTCAAAATGCTAGCCACATCCACTTCATCCCTGGACACTAAAGGAGATGCTCTTTAATGTCTGGTGGAGAAACATTATGCCTTGGAAGCAGGAGCCTTTTTGTTCCGCTGCCTATACAAGACAAAATGCAGGGGAGCCCTGGTAGGCACGAAGATGAACCTCTGAACTGCACTGGAACCAGTCCATTTATTTTAACAGAGAAATGGAGAGTTACAAAGACAAAGGAACAATCATTTTTTCCATGAGGCTGAGCAGATCTACTAAAGAGGAAAAATTCACAGTGCCAGACAGAGAAGGGGCAGCATTTTCACTTGATAAAGGAAATGTTTAAGGGCTGACTTCATGCAAAATTAACCGTTGAATATGTCAACTTGAAAACCTTAATTTACTTGTTAATGGATAGCCTTTGGATGAAATTCCTTAAAAAAAAAAAAAAAAAAAAAAAAAAAAGCTATCCTAAACTGTGACTGCAGAAGCTTCCTGCCTGCTGTTTAAGTGAAAAGTATACATATTTAATCATTTTACAAGAGTAGAGCTCTTGGCTCTCCTGGAGCTGTGCCAAGCTAGCAGTCCTGACACAGGAAAAGCAAGGCTTCATTTATTCAGAGGTAATTTCCAAATGGTGCCATGTAGGGTTCTTTTTGCCATGTTTAACCCAAGGAAAACCTCACCTTTTGAAAGAGATTCTCAATGTTAGTAGTCATTTTTCAGCCACTACTCTTCCACCCAGTCATCAACCCCAGTCCCACTCCATTAGTCACTACCCAGAAATGCAGAGAAGGAAGGAAAAACTGCCTGTCCCCCAAAACCAGCCAAATAGCTCTAAAAATTCTAAGAAATATGTTTTATCGCTCTCTCTCGAATATACAATTGCCAATCAATGACAATTAATCTCTGTATCCTTTCCCTGTGACTGCAAGGAGAATTCAATGAGGCAGATTCCATGCCATGGTTTTCCTCTGGTTTTGGTCTTGCATCAGCCTAGCTTTTCAAGACCTTTTTCTTTATTTCTAATACCACTTCTGTCAGCACAAAATACGTAATTTTTAACAGCTTCAGATTCATCTCCCCACCTTGGAAGAAGGATTTAAACTAGTGTTGAGCAGTGTGTGCTCAACCTGAGCTAAAAATGCTTAAAAGCTGCTTTGAAAGTTTCCCGTTTGCCCATATTTGCCACTGTTGTTCCGGTAGGCAAATACCTTATCACTACCTGTTTTTCTCCAATCTGGAAAAGTGTAGTTCACTCTTTTCCTGATTCAACCCTACAAAGGTGGGGTGCACGGACCCACAGTTTCCACAAGGGGTTATCAGGTACCCCTCCCTTCGGCACCCCAGAAGGGAGGACATGGACCCACATCCTGTTTGAAGACTGCCCATCCCTGCCCAACCAAGGCCGGATCCTGGCTCTGTTGAGCCAGAATGGGCAGGACCTGGGCAGGACTGCCGGGCCTGGAAACCCCACCCCGGTAATGTCATGACAAATTCAGGCAACTTGGGCAGCTCCCAAAGTGAGACATGGAAAACAAACTTTAGCTCATGAAAAGGACGTGACTGAATCATGGCTCTGTTCCTGAGCCTTCCTACCTCTGCTTTTACTTCTCTAGCTTTAAGGGATGAAAGATGACAGAAGTTGCACTTTGTTTTTAGAGGACATTTGTCACCTGGAATAAATAAACTGAACAATGCTGCTGAAGTAAGCAAGATCTTCTAATTCAAAACTACTGCCTCTATCAGTAAAAAGGTAATGCATTTATTTTTATTGCTGAAATTTGATAATAAAAAAGGTAATCAACTGACAGTTTCCTGAGGAAAAAAATGAATTAAGCCCATTGGGAAGACACTGCCTCCCAAACAAACTGGAAGGTTGTGCTTGTATCTGCAAAGGTTCTTCTTTTTACCCAACCAGCAGGAGCTGGTCATAAGTCATTCCCCAGATAAGTTGTCCAGACCAGAGGTGGCCTTCCTGTAGAGGACCTGCCCACCACGTGCATAGGAAGACTTCTGCCAGAGCCACAGAGGGACTTAGGACATGCAGACTGTACCCAAACCTGCTCTCAGCACCTTGGAGCCGAATTTATCCCCACTAAAGCTGCTCTAGATCAAAACCAGGCTGCTCAGCCTGTGCTGGCCATCACTTGGGGAACAGCATCAGCAGCTCTGGCTGGAAGACCCCCGCTTTCTTCTACCCACTCCTTCCTGCACCATCAAAGTAGGGAGAGAAGAGGGACTCTTTTCCCCCTGGCCTTCCCTCACACCTCTGCAGGCAAGAGGGAAATGCTCTGGGCAAGGACAGATGGAAGGGGTGGTGAAGGGCCTTGATCCAGACCTTTGCTCTACCAGATAGAACTTTGCTCTATCCATTTCACAGGTTCAAAATGCTCTGTGCATTTTGGACATTACACTAAGTCTGTAATAAACAGAGTCTCAGCTGAGACTCTCTTCCTCCTCAGTTAGCCTAGTTTAGTTTTGCTACATTTAAATGATCACCATAATCAGCCAAAACACATTTGCAAAGACTGCTTTTGCATATAAGGTGCTGTGCCAAACATTGGAGTTCTTAATTTTCCAGCCTCAGCCTCCCTGCAATAACTGCCATCCTCATCAGGAGCACATTTTCCCAATACTGTCACTCCCTGGTTTCTGACGAGCAAGTCTCAGCACTGCAAAATGACGTTTTTCTTTTTTCACGTAATGACCTTCTTAGTACACAAAGTTGTCATTTCTCATTAGTCCAATTGATCCTTTTGTTTATACTGCAGACGTGTAAGTTTACACATCTTCTAATCTCTCCTTTGTATTATAGCAACATAAATCTGTGGTTAATACTTCATTAATTTCCTAAGGGAGGCAACTTCCAGCATGGCTTGGAAAACTGATGACCCCACTGCTGTCAAGGGCTGCATGAGTAACTGACTTTATTGCTTTGGCAATAAAACAAAACCAAGCAAAAGGTATGTGTCCACATGCATATAGAATTTTGGAGTAGAAGCAAAAATACTTTTTCCTTGGTTTTCCCTACTGAAAAAAAAAGATGGATTGCTTCCTTCTGTTTCATACAAAAATGAAATGCTCTCTTTTGGATTCAAGTACACAGAGCAAAGAAAATTAATGACTCAATGTATGAAACTGGGGGGGAATAAAGTAGCTTCCCATTTTGTCCAGGAGTGAGGACTAATGCAGAAGGAGTAGGAGACCAAGAAAGATTTAAATGAGAATGTCAGATCTCACACCATAATGCCGTGTCTACCACACTATTTGATACGACTGACATGTTCCTCATGCCTCCTCTTGATCTTATTCCACCTGGTTTAGATAAATATTTACTCATACCAGGACTGAGGCACCGTGTTCCTATTTTCCAGGTGAAAGTCCTACCAACCACACTGGTGAGTCTTTCCCGTGGAAACTGTCCCAGAGGCTACAAAATTAGTCTGTAACAACTGAAAACTTATCATCAGATAATCTGAAGAGCCCTCAGAACATTCAACTTCCCAATATCCGGGTGGCTAATATATTGTTTTAAGAGATCGAGTCTCTGGTTCATCCCGACTCTGGTACATACTTAAGCAGTCTGATTCCCCAGCATGAACATCCTACCAATATGCTGCCTAAAAAGCAGCTAACAATACCACCTCTAACCAGATCATGAATCTTCTTCTGAAAACAAGAGAAGGCAAATGCAGGAGAAGCTGTCCAGATAATTCAGGCCCATCTGTCTGGTATTTTGGGGATGGTTAAAACTGCGTTCTCCTCCTAGCTCACCATGTGCCGAGGCCATCTCACTCAGCAATCTTACTTGCCACCCTAAAACACCGAAGAGCCAATCCTGAATTACTTTTCAAGGTGAACCTCCGAGGGAAGTAAGCTTTTGCTTTACCTCCTATGTTACTCTGTGGTGTGTGATTATGGTCCTTCTGAGAAAACTCCAAGCTGGAGGCAAAGGACACAGGAAAGATTTCTCAACGAAGAGCTCCCCTGGTGCTGCTGAGCCTTTCCTGACACCAGGCCTGGCTCAAGGAGCCTCCATGTCCTGCCATAAAAAGCAGATTTTACAGCAGGTTTCATACAGCCTTTTATCCTAATATGGGAATAAAGTCCTGCTGGTTATCACAGTTGTTGAAACTCCTGCATGGAAATGGACAGGTTTGCACTACAGATCGTGTCCTTTGTTTAGCAACTTATGTGGTGGAGCTTTTCTCTGTACAGTTGCGGCAGCATCAAAGAGAGACCAGGTATAGATGCAGATGCAGACTCTCTAAAACCTTCAGATCTTCTTTTTATGGGGTTGTAAGGCAACTTCATACATCATAAAGCTGGACCCTTTCCATATTAGTAACACAGGACACCCAGTACTTATAGTTCTTAGGAAAACAGAAATGGGCCTAAATCCTAGATCCAGATGTGAATTTGGCAAATAGCCCCTTTACAATGGGACAACAAAATGTCTCCATTCCAAACACTTCTATACTTTTGGGTGTTTGAAATCAACTTTGCCCCCACAACAATTCATTAATCATATCTTTTAAATGTTTAAACTTCAGCTATAATGTAAAATCAACATTTAAGGTTCTTGCTAATTTGTCTCAGAATTGGCATGATATAAGATTCCCTTCATGAAATGGATAGTCTCAAAGACACTGCCAAGAGTAATTGCTGCCCTTCTCTTTTTCTGCCCTCCCTTCTTTATTTTACTTTAACAGAGATAAGGAAAGGTAGGGTAAAAAGTGAATGTTACTGACACAAATGAATTCTGCTGAATTTCATTTCCATTAGATTTCTACATAACTAGAAACTTTTTTGGCAGCCTCCCATAAAAGGCATAATAAATTGCCTTTGTACCAGTAGAGGAATTCGTTTTCTCTGTTTCATTTAGCAACGATATTGCTGTGAATTTCACACAACAGTTTCTAAATCGTCATCGGATTTCTCTGCCTAATGTCAATTTGGCATTTTTCCCCTCTTCGCAGAATAAAGGCTAGAGAAGTGAAAACAGAGCAAAACAAAAACCAGTTGCCATCCCTGTTGTGTAACATGGGGAATGAGCCAGGTTTGCTCTTCCAGCAGGTGCCCATGTTTCAGCAATGCCACCAGGACCACTGACTGGAATCAATGATAGTCTTGTTGAAGTGGCCAAATATTAAGAGACTGAATTCATCCATCTGAGGGTTTTTTCCATCCTGACAGAACCTGGGGAAGTTTATTCTCCTTGTGCAAAGCCATTGCCTGTTCTAGGAATAATTACAAACCTTAAACGTATTGATGGATCAACTCAAAAGGGAAAAGAAAAAATAACCAAGGAAAACAGAAGTCTAGTAGAGTATCTTTACTTCGGCATGTGATCAGGTTACAGGTTGCCTCACTCTAAAATGCTGACACCCCTTTACTCATGACAACTTCAATGAGCTTTGTGAGTGCTCAGGTCCGTAAGAAATTATTTTGCATCCTTTGCAGCCCATTGATGTCTGTGGCAATGGGGTCCAGTCACAACAGCCACGTCTTTCTAATTTCAACCTCCAGTATCCCCAGTCCCCAGCTTTGAATTACAGATTCTTGAGCAAAGCCAGGAGCTCAAGAGAAGGATGTGACTACGATAACTGCTCCCCTGCAAATCCTGTCTTCATTTACATAGATACGGGGCTGGGGTGCGGGGGTGGGAGATCAATAGCCCTTCACATAGTTTGGGAGGGAGTCAGGGGCATGCCCATATATCGGGTTGCTGCTGCAAATTCCCCTCTTCAGAGTGTGTCATAGCCTCTCTCCATTACTTCCTTTCATTGAAATTTTTCACAAGAGGGAGGGTATTTGCAAGTGCTTTGAATATGCAAGGCACATCTGATCAAATCATGGTGGGGAAAAGGCTGTGCAGGTTTTACTGTGCTGCCTGCTGGACACAAGGGGACAGACTTCCCTGGCTGTAGTGCAGGTGTCCTCTCCCGGTCTGACCAACTATGGAAAAACCAGGAAGAACTGAAGTCCTGGCACTGAGAATGCCATCATGTAACTAAGAGCAGCCTCAGGGTCCCTGGGAGTTGCTCTTAGCTGCTAACAGCTCTCAAGGAGCCTTTTGGCTCACAAATCATGATCCCACCCACTCTCCTCTGATACCCACAAAACTCCACGCAGCAGAATCATATTAAATATGGTACTATTACGATTCTAACATAAAGATTATTAATAACATCTTTGATATACTTTTCTAGGGAGAAGGACTACAGAGAGGAAGTCAGGCTTTAGCCAGCCAAGAAGGCAACAGCATAGTGGAAATGGGATCTCGCCTATACGACCTCTCCGTCCCCAGGTAGGACGTGGCTGTGCTGCCACAGCCTACGCCACTGCCTCATGCTCAGCTGGGATTGTCCTTCCGTTTCTATCCATTATATAAATCTCACCATATTGCTCAGGGTCACTATAACTGCTTAAGGTAATGAAAGGAAAACTTAGGGAAAATTTGGCTACATTTTTTTCTTTGCAAATATTAGGGGAGAGCCTAAAATAGTGCATAGTAGTTCACTGGGGAAGTCTGAAACTCACTTCTGAAACTGAGACAGTTAACTTTTCATTTGGTCTTTCTCTTTTTTTGATGTGATCTGTTTATTTTACTGGATTGACAGTGTTTTCTCACGTCAAAGACAAGCCCTTTTAGTAATATCTTAGTCTCAAAGGATCTAAACCCCAAACCCAGTGTCCCTGAAATTGGGTGGCCCTGTCAGTCCACAAACAATCACATTTACTAAAAAATTTTTTTTTTCTTCCCCTTGCACAATGAAACTTTGTACATCAGAAATTAAACTATTGAAAGTAATCTGGATGTTGGGAACACCAAGACATTGAAAAATAGTATTATAAACAATGTCTTCATTTTATTAATAAAGGACTACAGAAAGCCACATTAGGAAAGCTTCTCAAAGAAATGATGTGGCAGATTAAGGGATACAGAAGGCCGAGAAGTGAGTGTGGATACAGATAAGTATAGCCAAGGGGTTAGAAATTAATCTACATGAAGCTTCACAACTTTAGCAGTAGTATTTATCCCACACACTAACTGAGTGAAGAAAGGAAGTTTGAGATGGTTGGAGTACAAGATGTAAAATAAGGATAAAAACTAAAGCAGAGGATGATTAGCAGTCCTCTGGTGCTGCTCTGGAGCTCGGTGCTGCCAGACGCTGAGCATCTGGCCCCTGAGGAGCCACCTGCAGGGAGAGGGCTGAACCCCTGTGCACTGCAATCAGCAGGGCACTCCAGCCTGAATTCAAATGGGTCTGGACCAGGATTTAATCCCACATTTTAGTTTTTTAAAAAAGCTTTTATGATTCACTTCACACAGCAGGATAACATTTTGCTGGGGTTTACCAGGTATTCAGGATAATACATAAAAATGCATATATATATATGTATATATATGCATATAAAATAGCTTTTGAAAAACATGATATCAACAGCAGTGCCTTGAACTATAAATGCTTATCATGTCATTTCAGAAAAAAAGGAGTACATGCAAAATTGTTTCTTGAAAGGATTGTCTGGGCATGATTTATTGTCTTCCCTCCAAAAAAACCCTCAGAAATTAAAGAGCCTGAACATCTCAAAACAAAATGTCTGGGGTTAAGCTGTGTCTAACTTAATCATAAAAATTATATAGATCTTAATGAAGAGGTTTGTAAAGTACTTCAGCTTGTCGTTCTGTTTACAGCTATCTGTGATATCCTCTGAAAATCTTGTTCCAGTATCAGCTAACAAAACTGGAAAGTTTATTTAGATTATTGTTCTGTTAGATAAGATAAAAGCTGTGATAACATTGCACAGTGATCAGCCTGCTTACAGATACAGACACTCACCCCGGAGGCTGCAGTCTGTGCACTGGGAGAAGCGGTTTTGCTACAGTCATCTGAGTTAGTAGAAGACGTGGATGTTGGAGTCATAGGAACTGCAGTAGTAGTGTTACCTGAAAGATGGGGAATTGGTATTAAAAAGAAATATTTTCTAGCCAGGGAAGAAACAAACCCCCAAAAAATAAACAACAACAAAAAAAAAAAACCAAAACCCAAACAACTATAAGCTATTGCAGTTACACTTTCTTATCTTTTTATATTTACCAGAGCATGCCTTTGATTTATTTATGTTCTTAGGTTTTCGCTTCCTCGTCTGAATTCCTTCTTTTTTCATAGCAAGAGGTCGGGGAACCTGAAAAAATTAAATTTCCACACCAATCATAGAGTTGTTTATGTACCCTAATATCAAAAATCAAAATTCACTACAAGATCAAGTGTGTTGTTTGAAAACACCTCTATAGCAACTCAGTTTTTCCTATGCCACAGTGCAGATTTTATAAAAAGTTTGCATTTTATTTGGGCAAAGCAATGGTTTGATTCAAGGGGAGTTTTAGCTGAATATAAAAAATAGGGAAACTTCTTGATGTAAACTAGACAGAAAAACAGCATACATTTAGGGAAAACCAGCATCATTTGGGAATAGGGCATTAGAAATTAAACTGGATGGGGTATATCTGATCCTTGATTCCTTATTCCAGTCAGTTAGGAATTATCTCCAATGCCTGATTCTGGAAAGGGAGAATGCACATGAGAAGAAAAAACACTCCTTATCCTGTGGACCAGCTGCACAAACCAGATCATCACCAGTAAATGTCTTAGGATGGAACCTTTAGGCCACAATCAACTTAGTAATTTTTCTTCTAAGCAGTTCTATCCCAATACAGATTTATAGTTTCCAGATTTATTTTTATACTGATAAATTTATATGTGCTCAAAAATAACTTTTGTGTTCTGTGTCATCACAGTGATAATCATTATACAGAAAAAAAATGGTTTAAAATATATTTTAACTTAATGATAACACCAGTGTGGGGAAAGACAATTCAGGTGCACACTTACTATCATTATAATGTTTAAACCAGTGACATAATTTACTTTTTTCTTGAGGCCTAGACCACATCTCAATCACTTCTAATGCCCTTGCTCTTCCAACACTTTTTGCTTGACTGTAACGCAATCCACAGGGATCTCAGCTAAAACATACTCCATCACATTCGGGATAGAGCTTTTTTCTTCATCTTTTATTGCCTAACAAATGCTGAAATTGCATTTAAAATTTTGCTGGCATAGCTATGGCTTGAATTACATTTACAGTTTTGCTGGCATAAGTACGAAAAACTGTTTTATTGAAGGTCTAGGGTTTTTCTCCCCACTGAAGAGCTAGTTTAAATCCCAGTGTCAAAAAAAGACCTCTGCTGCTCATCCAGAGGTGGTCACTTCATAAAAATCTGTTGAGAGACTACAATGGCAAACACATTATTTGTCAAAAGCATAGCATGCTAAAACAGTGAAAGTATTTTCTAATGTCACACCTTTTTCAGTTGTTTTATCCATCGTTTTTTAACTCCATGGTCCAAGCCATGAATTAAAACCATTAGCATCAAAAGAAACGTCTCCCCGACTTGAGGATGCTTAGTGCCAGCCCCCAAAAGCCTGCAGGCACCTGCCAGCAGGAGGACCCCCTCCCCTTCCCCAAAGGAGCACCAGAGCTAGAATGAAATCTCCCTCAGCAAAGCAGCCACTTACCCCATGGAGCTTCATGTAGAGGCCGCAGGCGTTGCAGACGGGCTCACCCTCCGCGTTCCTGCGCCACAGGGTGGTGGTCGTGGTGTGGCAGTTGGCACAGGACAAGCCCAGCCGCCGCGACGAAGGCTGGAGGTTAAGCACAGGCAAACACGTGCATGAGCAGGCAGGCAGGAGCAAATGGTTTATGTCTTTATGGCTTATAAAAAGTACTTTAACACATGGTGGAGATGGTACGAGATTTTTTAGGTGGTATCTTATCAGCAACATCCCAGAATTAGAACAGAATTATCCTCATTTTGGAGAGTGGAAAGCTGATGTGAAGAGTTTGCAACCCCGAGCAGTCGTGGCAGAGGCAAAATTCATATTGGGGAGATGCTGACCCAGAGACCTGTGTTTAGACCTCCAGGCATTGGTTCTTCTTCCAGCAGGACAGCTAGCAAACATCTCCACTACACACCATCGAGCTGAGGAGAAGGCACATCACTCCTATGCTGCCCCTCCAACCAGTTCAGTGCACTCTTCCCTGTGTGGTGGGTGAAGAGGCAGCTCTGATCCTGCAAGTGATGCTCCCAACTTTTTGGAAAAAAATCAGTCACTTTAATCACCTGCCTTCAGTGGCACTGCAGCTGGGAAAAACTTTCCTGGGGGTCCCAGGGGTAACATGTACAACAGCGTTATCTCTGTAAAAAGATCTTTTTATCATCACCCATCTTATCCTCACACAAAAAGCAACTTGCCTTGGGAGCGTGTTTTACAGAGCAGAGCTTCCCCTCAGCCAGCAGAAAAGCTGGAGGGTGACAACAAGGTCCCCACGGCAAACAAGCCATTTATGACACTCTTCCGTGGAGTTTGGAGCCAAGATGAAGCAACCTTGCATCAGAAATAACCGTATAACCTAGAGCTTTATGGCTGCAGGCTGTATATCATAAGCGAAGGCAGTGCTCATAAACATGTGAAATGAAGGTGAATGGGTTATAAAAGTCCCTGTAACAAGTGATCTCTTTTACGTTCATCACAAGCAAAGAATTCCAGCTACATCATAAATCTAGTCTTTTTCAAAGTATTGCATTGTCAAAAAAAAAAAATATAAAAAAAATCTGTGCCTAGCTCTGTGTCTGGCAGTTGAACAAGTTTACATGGAGAAGTCAGTTTTAGAGGATCGCATTAATCTTATTCTGACTATAAAGCGCCTATAACTGAAATTACTAACTTAAGGGTACAGTGCCCTTCCTCTTGAATCATTTACTGCTGGGTTGTTAGATGTAACTGGGTCACCTTTGATACCACAGATCTGCCTGCCACTTGGAAAACTGATAAAAAAGTTTTGAGAACGAAGAATATTCCAGAGTAATAACTGAGTTTTTTTAATTTTATCTGTTTGAGTGTCTCTAGCAGTAAGCCATCATTTTACACTGCAGCTCAGAAAGAGCTCCAGATTAAATACAAATTTTGTAATCTGGAATAAGTAATCCATTATTAACTGCACTGGAAAAAAAAAACCAACCAAACAGAAAACCAAACCGCCCAGACAAGTGTAATATAGGCTGAAGTAGACACATATAGTTTTTAATCTTAAAAATCCAAGTCTCATGAAAACAGAATTTTTGACCTCACTATTAAATGCATATGCACACAGCGGTCAAATCGCACCCTTGATTCAATATGAGTTTTACGTGCATCGAGTAAAAGAAAGCTGATCTTAACACATATGCTTAATTTTCTCTCTTTGCAAGTGAAATGCTGTCAGATGTTTCACTCTGTTAAATCTTTCCCTTTCCTATGCAGTCTGGTATAAATCTTCATATATTTTATTTCAATAGCTTTTGCTTATTCCCATATCTAAACAAACGGGGGATTTTGGCATGTTTTGAAGCTAAAATGACTTTCCTGTTGCAGGAATTTTATCAGAAACTTCGGGGCAATCTAAACATATTTAGCGTTTTCAAAACATTTTCCCTTCTCACCTACATATTTCCAACTGTATGAACACACAGTCACAGTTGATTTATAGTTATGGCCAGGGTACTCGGTAGGGATTGTTACGCAGAGCTATTTCAGAGTTATTCTGCTGAGGTGTCAGGCTTGAAATCGGGCTGTAGTTTGACTCTGCTTTAGTCTCTTCACCCCCACCCCTCCTCAAAAAAAGAAACAGAGAAATGTTGGAGCCGAGTATCAGCTACTTGAAATCTGCCTTGGGCCAGGGTGCCACAGACAGTGGGGCTCTGATGCTTGACACAATCGGCAGATCTGGCCTCTCCGCTGCTGCCTTTGTCGCCCGTGATAACCCCTTGTGTCACGAAATTTACTGGATGACCCGCTAGAAAAAAACGGGCACCCAGCAGTAATTAGCCTCTGGCTGAAAGTTAAATTAACTCTTAGGCTTAAAGAAAGGTCCTTCAGCAGGGACGGGTTGATTCCCGAGTGCTTATTGTCTGCTCGGATCATCGTGCGTTTTGTTCCCCTCGCTCCTGTAATACGGGCCCTAAATTCAAACGTTTGTGAAATAAAGAGCGGTAGGTGTTGTAACACAAGGGAAACAGTCACGGAGCGAAACAGCTGGCGTGACTGAGAGGGGCTTGAAAGGCTGATGGGTTTGATACACTGTCTCCATACACAGGGGTCCAAACATCAGCTTGGATTATACCGGCGTGATTTATTGTGGCTCACTCGGTAACAGCCATTACTGAAGAGCGTATTCTTTCTCACTGCTGACCTCCACCCAGATTTGCTAAACATAATGTGCAGTTCCCGCTTGTTAAATTTTCTCCTAGCCTATTCAGTGCCAGCCTGATTTATAAACAGGGGTTCTGGTTTGTACTATTTATTTCCCCCCCTAGTTTTAGGAGTATATTTTTAGAAAAATTGCCGCTCATTTCTTAGGAGTAAAACAAAACAAAGGCTATTATCATTGTTTAAACAATTGGTTTTCTTTGAATTATATACAAAACTTGCTTACATTCCCAAGGATCGAGCTGTCAGCAAACAAAGCAGGTCTGGAGAAATTCCTAGCCCTCTGAACAAACATTTTCCAACCTTGATTTTTTTTTTTCTTTTGGAAATGCCCAACATCACCAGCACAAATTTCTTCCAAGCCACTTAAGCCCCCCTAACTGATGGGGTTCATAGTTCAAAAAGCCAGGCTGGCCCATGCCCCGTGTGCAGCTCACTGGGGAGGCAGAGGGCTATTTTGCCAGCGCAAGGCCTGGAGTTGGGTTCGCAGTGGTTCCCAGAGGGCTGCCAGCCCTTTCGCCCCTCATTAGGACCATTTTGGCCTGCTAAACTGGTCAGGAGCCCCACTCGGTTTAGAAGCCGAGGAGATCACCAGGTTAATACACACAATGTTCTCCACATCCTTGCCCCCTGTTTCTCCCTGGCTAGTGCTGACTGGTGGTTCCTTGGGGCACAGCTCCTCTCACCCACCTACTCCCCTCCACTCCCCACTCACCACTCTCTTTTGGGGCTTGATGAGGGGCCGGCTGAGGCCATTCATTTTTGTGTAGAGACCGCAGGCGTTGCACAGGTAGTTGCCGGTGCCGTCCCTCCTCCACAGCGGGGTCTGGATGGAGCCGCAGTTGACGCACTCTCGGCTCTCAGACAGGTCCTCCAGCAGCTCTGGGGGGCAGAAGGAGAGGCGGTGGGGCACGGCCGCAGGCGGGCATGGAGCCCAGCGGAGCCCCGCGTAGCGCGGCCCCGGCCCCGCCGCGCCAAAGGACTGGCCCCGGGCGAGCAAGCAACCGGCACTGTTCAGCCCTCGGAAAAGCAATTCCCTGGCAGTGACGGCGAACATGCGGCGATTTTTTACAAAATCTCTCCCTTTTTTCCCCCCCTTTTTCACCACTCCCCCTATATATTTAGATGTACCATACTCGCTGCCGGCCTCGGCGCAGCCTCTGCTTTCCGAACCCCAGTGGAACCGGTGAGACCTGGGACGGGCTGGGGGACACCGGCCCGCCGGAGCGGTCACTCCAGGCCCGCCTTGCATTCATGTCGGGACTTGGCCCTTGGGAAAGCCGGCTGGCGTCCGCTCGAGGGGCGAAACCCCTGCCGTGGTGCCCACCGGGTGGAAGAGGAGGTGCGCTTGGCTTGTGAGGGGTGCAGAGAGGGGAGTTAGGTGCCTGCCAGAATAGCCACTTGCAGAGCCACCCTGGGAGCCGGATATAAGGAGTGGTCGTTTTGCCCAATATTCCCCAGGGTCGAAGCTGGGCAAGAACTTTTTTACCTCGACTCTTATTTTAAATGCCTCGCAACTAGTAAAGTTTTAAGTTTAGAGGCAGCGTTTGGGGGTCTGGTGTGCCAAGCGACGGGCAGTGAACACACTGCTTCGGCTATTTGGTCAAATTCGAGCTGGTTGGTAGGAAACGGAGGAAATGGAAAAATACGCGGTATTCTGCCTCCTGCTTTCATAGTAACTGAGCACTGAGGGGAAAATAAGGTCTAAATGCACGGAAAAAGAAAAAAAAAAAAACAGAGAGAGAATCCACCTACAAAAGCTAACACCTTCACCCCTGCGAATCCTTGTTCTGATTCAACTCTCTATATTTCGGGGAGGGCGGAATAAGCTCTGTTTTTACATAGACCGTGCCACGTTGTGCAGAAATAATAAAAGGAGATGTTTGGATTTTTACAGCAGTTTTCGAGTCGAAGCTGGGAAAGTTTGTTTCAGACTCAGTGCTTCGTCACTGATTTTTTTTTTCCTTTTTTTTTTTCTCCCTCCGCTACCTGCCTTAATTCATTATTGAGTTATTCTTTTACATTTCTCTGTACAGCGAGTAAAGACCTTATAAACTTCTAGTAGCTTTGGAGACTGGGCTGAGGTGACACGGCGGGCATTGAGCTGAGAGAGAAACGGACTTTTGGCCCGCACCCACCCAAATACTTTTCTCTCCTCCCTTCGTTCGCAAATTATTAGGCGCTAAAGAGGGACGGGCACACGGCACAGTCCAGAGAGCACAGTTCAACTGACATTGTCAGCTTGTAGCACTTAGCACATCGCTAAGATTAATAAATCTTTGCACTAAAAGCGCTATAGAAGAGTGTAATCAGGAAAATGCTTAAGGCTTCAAGGACGTTGGAAGTTAAACAGTTATTTGTCTCAGCTATTTACTTTATAACATTGCCTTCGTGCCTTCAGAAAGAAATTCTGCGGTGACAATATTTCTCGGGCATTTAAAAAATTTTTTTCTCTTACAGGGTAATACATTTATCTTCAATGAAAACAAAATAAAGTTTTAATTTTAGATACTGTTTCAATGTCTATGAGTAACATTAAAAAAGCTTTGTCACACTGTATAATAGTTAGCCGTAAAAAATATATTTCGTCTACAATTTTCCTGACAATTTCCCTACAATTTTGAAAAGGGAGCACACGTGGTTTCGACTTCGCTGGCGCGTTTAGCACTGCAGGACCAGAAAACTCGCGTGGCCCAGGAGCTGCAGACTGCTTCGCCCCGCGTTACACCGCGATGCGGCTCCACTGACACCCGTCCTTTCCCTCATGGAAAGGTTGGCCAGCCCGCGCCCCACCGGCTCCAAGCACCGGAGAACGGAGGCACAAGGGCAGGAGAGAGACCCTCGGGAGCAGGGGAATCTGGCGTGCTCCTCCTCGGCTGGCTTGGCACTCGTGCCCCAACCTCCTCCAGCGCCCGGCTCCTTCCCTTCTCTGCCCCTTCTTACTCATTCTTCTTCTCTCCTTTTCACGAGATTCTCTAATCCCACGTCTCTCCCGGGGAAAAAAAAAAAAAAAAAAAAAAAAAAAAAAAAAAAAAAAAAAAAAAAAAAAAAAAAAAAAAAAAAAAAAAAAAAAAAAAAAAAAAAAAAAAAAAAAAAAGCCCAACAACAAAGAAAACCCCAACAGATTTCTTTTTCCTCCATCACCTATTTATACACTGTAACTTTTGGAAACTGAGTTAGAAAACTCAACTTCCGTGTCGGTCTGAGACGCGGCTTCTCCAAGCACCACTACTTCTCTCTGTTATGTTATTAAACACCAAGTGAGAGGCTTAAAATGCTTAAATCTACCGGGTATCATAGAGAGAAGGGAGGAGCATCAGGTAAAACCCTACAAAAGGATAAGAAGCCATGGGGTAATTATCCGCAACACTGCACTGAAAGAAAATCACGGTGTCTACAAAATATACCCAACCTGGTGGGTAGTTTACGATTAAAGTGAATGTTGATCAAATCTGTGTATGCGCGTGTGGAAGCGTATGCACATATACATAAATATATATACATAATATATATGCATAATATATAAAAATATGTATACATATACATACCTCTCTATCCACCTTTATTTATATATACATACATATATTCTGAGGCTGAAGAAACTGCAATAATCGTTAATCTTTATAACTCAAACTAAATTATCGCAGCTCAGCCTCCACTTCACCAGTAATTTAATGACTCCAACAACTTCCCAGACTAAAATAAAAAATAAGGACGGGACACCTTGGAAGCGAAAGCAAAACCCCATCAGGAGGTGCTGCATTTTAACAGCAGTTTATAAACGAGATTTCCTAGTTCATATCCGAGGTTTTGCTTTGCTGCTTTTCTCTTTTACTGAAGCAGTGAAGTGTTTTGTATTCGAAATAATCCAAAATGGGTTAAGCGAACCCCTGTAATTTTCGTTTACGCTACAAAAAAAAAAAAAAAAAAATCAGTTTGCCGTGAATTTGACACCATTTCTCGGCCAGATAACCACATTTAGGAAAAGGAGGAACGTCAGGATCTGGAAAAATTAAAAACTAGGTTTAAACCTGGATCTCTGGGTTTGTAGCCCCTATTGCCATACTCCAAACAACGCCGCTTTGGGGGGATGTGTTCCCCCTTAATCCAGCACAAACGACGAGAGTTTACCTTCACTCCAAAAATCCATGGTTTCGGGACTGCCATCCTGCCACAGGCACCAGGGCCGCCCCACGCCGTCCCGCCTTGCCCGCGAACCCCGCGCGTCCCGGCCCCCCCGTGGCCCCTCCAGCGGGCAGCCCCGGCATGCGGCGACCCCCCCTGCCCTACCCTACCCCGCCCTTGCCCGCGCCCCCGGCCACGGGTCGTACCTGCGCTGGGTGCCCGGACGGGGATGGGGGCGGCCCGGCCCTGGAGGCAGTGCAGCATGGAGTTCTCGAAGGGCGCCGTGGGCCAGGCGGGGGTGAGCTGCGGCCCCACGTAGGACGTGTAGGGCCCCGGATAGGAGCCATTGAGCGGCCGGGCCAGGGGGCTGTACTGGTCCCTGGCTCCCAGGCTGTTGCTGTAGGCGCCGGGCTCCCGAGAGGCCCCGTTGGCCACCGGCGGGCTGGGCGAATAGGGAAAGCGGCCCGAGGGGTGGGAGCCGCCGCCGGTGCTGTACGAGGGGCTTTCCGCGGCTGGCTGGGACCAGACGGCGTGGCCGCCGCCCGGGTGGCTTGGCTGGGCCGCCCCGCTGCCTTGCAGGTACGGCAGCGTGGGCAGCATGGAGCCCACGCGGGTCGTGGGCACGTACACGGGCGAGCTGGGTGTGGAGTGCATGAAGCCGCCCGGAGATCCGTCGTAAGGCGTGGGGCCCTGGGCGGCCGAGATGGCGAGGGTCTGGTACATCTCCTCGGGTTGCTCGGCGCCGAGGGCGCTCAACTTGGGCCCGCGGCTGGACCAGATCAGCTTGTTGGTTTGGTCTAAGTCCGCGAAGAGCAGGATGTCCTCCCAGCTGAACCGGCCGGAGGGGTGGGGGGCCCCGAAATGCACGTAGGGGGCGAGCAGAGACCTGCCCTCGGCGGCGGGGGGCGGCGGAGGGGCCGGCCGGTGACTGTCGTCGGTCTCCGGCCGAGGAGTCTTGGAGGAGCCGCGTTCACCCTGGGAGCCGGAGGAGGACGAGGAGGAGGAGGGCGAAGGAGACGGGCGCGGCTCCCGGGTGGCGAAGGGGCAGGAGGGAACACCGACGTCCGCAGCGCACCGCTTCACCGCGCACCAGCCGACTTCAGCCACGGCCATCCAGGTCCCCTTCTAGCCGCTGGGTGTGGATGGGGAAGAGGGAGGAGGGGAGGAGGAGGGGTGGAGGTGGGGGTCCGCAGGGCAGGGCGGGGAAGGAGGACACAGAATAGCAGGGAAGGGAGAGAGAGAGAAACAATAATAACAAAGTTTGCAAACAGGACAGCACGTCTCCCTCCCGTAATGAGATTCATCAGGGCTTATCTGGACCCTCTGAGCGCTTAATCAGTCATGTCGCCTCGGTGCTGTTGTCCCTCCCCCCGGCGGTATGGGATCAGGCAGACCAGGTCAACACGGGCCGGGAGTCGCCAGTCCCGCAGGGCCAGGGCTGCGGCTCCGACGCCGCTCCCGCGCTGCGGGCGGGCTGCTCCCTTCTCCCTTTGCATCCCGGACTGCGGATTTGAACATGAAGCACGCCGGGGAGAGGTGGGCGGGAGGGCGTGGGGAGAGAGGGGGGCGAGGGACATTTTTCCCTGTCTGTGCCGCAGCCCCTTCCTTGGCTGTTGTCGTTGTTATGATTATTTCAATGAATGAGTCATTTGACTCGGTTCCACCGAGAAAACAATTAGTAAGGCGATCCCTTTAAGGTTACTTCTCCGGAGAGCAATGTTAGCTTTTCCGCGCATCGCCTCGCTTGTTTGCTTATTTCCAGCCCAAGGTCACGGAAAGGAGGAGAAGGAGGAGGGAAAGGCACCCGGGAGACGGGAGATGCGCACGGGCCAGGCGCCGAAGTGTGCGCGATGGGATACGGACCGAGGCAGGGGCCGGGTCGGGTGGGATGTGCCTGCCGCGGGGGCCGGTGCCAGTGGACAGTCCCGGATGACAGGGCCTGCCCCAAGTCCGAGCACAGCTCTCGGAGTTGACATCCGTCCCGAGTCGACCGGTCTCAGTTCGGAGCTGTCGGCATGAGAGAGGCCGGACAGGCAAACGGACACGGAGCGTCCGGTGCCCAGCCTCAGGGAGAAGGGGCAGAAAGCGAAAGGGGACGCGGAGAAGTGACAAGAGAAGCGGGCGGCGAGGCTCTCCGCTCTCAGCCCACTTCGGGGGTCTTCAGATAGCCATAGGCACAAGAATACAGGACACACACAGAGCCCCCTCGCAGATAGGCACCAAATACGTCTCTCCCTCCTGCGAGGTAACTGGGAGATAAGGCTCCGGCAGATAAGGGCTCCAGGCACCGGTATCGGATGTTTGCCCACACAGTCTCCCTCAGGCTCCCCCAGCCAGGCGCAGCCGCGGCCGCGCTCCCCTCAGAGCGACCGAGGGCGGAGAAGCAGGAGCAGAAGAGCGAGGAAGAACAAGGAAAATCGCGGCGAGGCAAGAAAAGAGAAGGAGGCCAAACCTGGTGCCGATGCCCCGCATGGGGCCGGGGCGCGGGGCCGCGGCGGGCGGTAAATCCAGTGCGGCGGGGGTGAGCGGCGGCGGCGAGTCCGGCGGCGGCGGCCGCCGGCTCATGTATAAAAAGGAGAGAGGAGGCGCCTCTCGCAGCCCTGCCGGAAAACTGCAGGCAGCCGGCCCTGATTGGGCTCAGCCAGCCCTAAACAAACACGGGGCTCCGCAGGGGTGCCAGTCCCGGCGACCAGCCGGCCCGCTGCCCCGGGGGTGGGGTGCCCGCAGCAAGGGGGCTACGGACCCCTCCTCGGGGAGCGGGAAGGAGGGGGGATTGTCCTCCCAGATGCCACAGTCTTTTATCTTCTTTTTTGTTTG